TACTAAGGTCATTTTCAGGTCAGGTCAAAGATGACGTCACAGGGGTCGAAAAAGTCAAAATGGCGGCGCTAGATATGGAGAGGGTTTTTCTCGAATAACTTTCGAAGTAGTCAAGATAGGAACAACCTAAGGGCATCATCGTGATCCTCTCGTCAATCCGCATCGAATGATATATATGTTGACCTCGAAAGGTCAAGGTCAAAGGTTGACCTCAGGTCACGTGACCTCGAGGTCATCATGTATATCATTCGATGCGTCTTGACGAGCTGAACACAATGAGACCATCCGCGCGGCTGTATCTTGTTCCTGTAAGGAGTTATTGGCAAAAAACCTTTGGTGACCTTTGATGACGTCACATGACCTTACAGCTGCCCAACAGCAAAACAGACCTCAAGGTAGTGAAGGTTGATCGTATGTGAAGTCATGTATGGTATATGGGGCCATTTCGACCCGTTTTAGTGATAAAAACAGGGAGTTGATTTTTCCCCCATTGACTTATAATGGGGAGGTCGCGAAATTGACCTGACCTTAGGTCACCGACATCAAAATTCCGAGATATACAAATTGTAGCTACTAATGACCTAATAACATCCTGCGACTTTCAAAGGCCTCCGACATCTACTGTAGCTCTGGCACGGTGACAAAGTTGCAAAAAAGTGACTTGAGGTTGGGTCATTCAAAGTGACCTGGTGACCTGACCTGTAAAGTTAGGAGGTTCAAACTTGCAAACCATGTGTAAAATTGATGAGAGAATAGTCATACCAAATTTCGCGGCGCTACGCGCCGCGGTTTTTCCGCTATCCGCGAAAAACCTCAGGGGGGGGCGGATATCCGCCCCCCCCGTCGGTGCGCGGGTTAACATGCGTGTACTGTGTCCCGAACAGTTTGTTTCAGGGTGTAGTTTTATGGCTAACAAATTGTACTGATTTAATGTTGCTTCGGTACCTTGGGGTAAGATGCCCCCTTTCCTGATGGGGAAAGACGCCCCCCCCCCCTAAATCCGTAGGCTGTCCTTCAAGCAGCCCGTCAAATCATTTATTACATACTTGTGATGAGAGACAAAAGCCGATCTGGGACTATTGAGAGTCCAGTACAGTCGGGTGCTCCCCATGCCGGTCTCTCGGCACACACAGCGACTTTTTGGGCGGCATCTGACTCTGAGAGCCCTCACGACTGCCTCTGTGGGCCCCATTATTGGCTCCAGGGCCCCTCACGACATCCTTTGAGGGCTCCCACGTTGGCTCCACGGGCCGCGCTGACATCTGAGGTCCCCACGATGGGCTCGAGGGCCCTCAAGCATCATGGAGACCTATAAGGGCCCCACAGTGGTTTCCAAACGCCACCACGGAGGCTTGTTTGGCCGCGCTGGACTATGATGGCCCTAACGATGACCTCTGAAGCCCCTTACGACTACTTTTGAGGGCCCTTACGATGACGTTTGGTGTCTACTGCAGTCTCGAAGGGACTACTGATTCGTTCAGGCGATTCACGTGCCCATTTATGCCACTTATAGTGCAGGGGGCATCTTCCCCAACGCCAGGGGGCGTCTTTCCCACCCTGTGGGGTAAAATGCCACCTTTCACTTCTTCAGGAAAATGCTTGATAGCAAAAAAAGTTATCATATTTCAGGCACGGAAGTGTGATATTTTTTGGAGAAAAATGATGTCGGCTTCCGTTGAAACTCCAAGTTTTTGCTTTCCGATCGTCATTTTCGAATAATATATGACATAGTAAAACCCTGGGCATCTTTCCCCACTCTCCCCTATGCCTATTATCCGCTCACAGATTTGTTACGCGACAGACAGCGACCGTCACCAAGCCCTCTTTATATTTCTTCCCACTTGTTAAAACACACAGATAGATCATGCAAATTGCAATGACTCCAGCGGCGACAATGTTAAGCTCATCTTTGATCGAGGTTAGGACATAATGCTCCATTATCTTGTCTATGCATTAGGTAATTTTGGCGCACAGCTGATCACTATTTACGTAAATTTATAAAAGTAACTTATTGAGACAGAGGAGAGTTCTCAGGCGTTGCGTCAATGACAACATATGATAATCATGAGCATTATCATTTGATAATGCCAGCAGGCTTCTGGTAGCATCTACCTACACTTAGACCAATGACAATTCTTTCCGCGACGCCATCAGTGTTTTCGGCTCAGTTAACTCTGCGGGGACTTGTCCGCCGTGTCGGTCGGTTCCAGTTTTTACAGTCTGCTGCTGCCGTTGGGAGTGGTCATCGTCGTACCCCGATCCTGTCCAGTCAGTGACCTGTCTGTACCGTGACCTCAGCAAGGTCAGATGACCGGTCGACGCTAGTTTGAAGCTAAAGCAGTGGGCATTTAGAGTTGTGCTGTCATGTAAACATTTTGGTGATTTGTTTCGAATCATTTAAATCCTTCCATTGCATGTTTTTTAGGTAGTTTGTTAGTCTTTTGTTTTTGTATGTTGACTTAAAATTGTTGATGTATTTGTTTTTCATTTGTGTGATCAACACATTTCTGAGAGTTGCATGATTTTCGATCTGTACACCTTGCGTGCTTGATGTGGTTTCTGTATCTGCGTGCGGACGCGTCCGTTGTATTATGTAAAAGTTTAGCTGGATGGGTAAAATTAGTGCCATTCGAAATTAATTGCTGCTCTCTGATACACTGATGATCTAAAAAGTAGATACACTTTGAAATATTTTGGGATGTTCTATACATTTGCATTCCACAATATAGGTGACATTGTTATTGCTCTTTAATATACGCTGCGTGTTATGTAAATAAGAAAAGTCATGCCTTCTATTTGCATGACCTCAGTAGCCAGTTTTTTGGTAGCATCCCTTGCGACGGCCCGGGATATTGTTGGCGCTGCCTCCTGGCCATGTTTTTATATAAGCCGGTGCCGACAAGTTTAGTGCGTGCCGGGGTTTTGACCTCACATTGGCTGCTCGTCGGTATATAGTCGTGTTATCGAACCGAACCCGGCAGTGGTAGTCCTGCAGTGAAATCGATTAGAAGCGATCATGAGGGCGGTAAGTAACTGATCATGTCTTTTTCTATGATCATGGGTATAGAAAGCTCGCGTTGATTGCATTTGCAGGTGTGATACGGCTAGGTGTAACCCGGGAAAGCGAAGGTAGTTGAGGGTTCGGTTGCATTTTTTTGCGGTTTCAGTGTTAGCGAGATCCTTACTGAGATATTTTTGTCCCATTTCACAATGTTCTTAGCTTTTTAAGTCCTCCTTCTGAAAATTGCGTGTTTTATTTGACATTATTTGAGTGTTTTACTATACAAACTGTTCGTGGTTTGCCATTTACTTATGACTTTACTCCTAACTCCTAAGTTATCTCAAAGTAACCTTCCTACAGAAGCTGGCTTAACCGCGCTAGCACACGCCTCTTTATTACCGTTAGAGTTGCCCGTCGATCTTCCTCGGTCAATCTTCGTTGCATTGTGTTTTTTTCCTGCATTATGATTGAGTGTTTTCCCCGATATTCTGAACCCTCCCCCTCCCGGACCCCGCAGTTGTCAGTGGTGCTGCTGGCGGTGGCGGCCGTGGCAGAGGATGTCACCTTCAGGTCACTTGAGGATCATATCTACCCGGCCAGCACTGCACCTCTGAACAGGGAGGACCTGGAGCCGGACAGCTATCACATGGGTGAGCGGAACTGGGGAGGGAGTGTGTGTGGGGGGAAGGGGGGGGGGGGGGGGGGGTGGAGATAAACAGCGAACAAAATGCGTATAAGTGAGCTCTAAATAGTCTCTCGGCAAACTATTTATCAAATCATAAAATAGGTTAATACTGGTACTTCTAGTTTCGTATGTGTTATTTCTATTTCCACTTCTCTTGGGAGCTTTATTCATTACTGCGTTACTTTTTCCTGCAATGATTCACGGTATGAAGCACGGTGAACACTTGTGCAATTCATGTTTGACTGCTTTGACCGTAGTCATGCAAAAATCGCTGATACAATTTGGCTTTTACTATGGCGACTCTGAGCTTCATTTGACGTCGAAGAGAAGAATAATCATGCCTAAATCTAGCTGAAAATCTGACACCCGTCTCCGTTTCTCAGACGACGCCTACAGCGTGCACCGGTCACTAGGAGCGGCCGCCGAGGTCCACACCAGAGCCCTGCTGGCAGGGATGCAGGAGGCCACAGTGCAGTCCGACCGTGGAGTGCACGCTACCGGACACTCCGGAGTGCCCGTCACCGCTTACGACGATACAGTGTCTGTTGCCAATTACAATGGAGTGTCGGAGGCTATCCATAGCGGGGAATTAGTGAAGTCTGTACCTAACAGAGTTCATGTTTATTCTCACTCGTACAGCGTAGTCCCCGGCAGTGCTGCGGATGGAGTTTCTGCATCCCATTACTCTTACAACGGAGTTTATCCGAGCGTTTACAATGGAGTGCCTGCTACCTCTTACAACGAAGTTCCTGTTACGACTTACAACGGATTACCTGTTGCTACTTACAACGGAGTGCCTGTGAGCACTCATAACGGAGTACCTGTGAACACTTACAACGGAGTGCCTCTAATCCCCTACTACGGGGTGCCCAACTATCATCAGGGGGTGCCGTTTTTCGGCTATACGGCAGCCCAGCTGAGCGCCCTCCACTCGGTAGGGGGTTACAGCGTGGCCCCTACCCCCGGCGAGGTTGGTTCCGATGTGTACGATGGGTACAGTTTGGGGCCGTTCCCTGTTGATGTCTCCGAGAGCGATGATTATTGAGTGCCCCGTATCCCTGTATATTGTGAGTGCATGGCTCAACATTAGCTCAGATACTTCATATCAATGTCAAACATTGTTACTGGCATTTGTACTGGCTGAATGAGGTGATGCGAAAGGGCATGAAAACGCAATGATTGAACGCAAATACACGTGAAAATACCCGAAATATGCTGTTTGATATTGATGTTCTGAGAAGACGACCCTTGTATGTTTTGAGCTGTTCTTTAATTAGGTGTCTGTGGATGTGATCTTGTTGTAATACCCTGGCTGGCTGGCATTTTTTCACTGGCACACTGTAACAACTGAACAGATGGTAATAATAAACAACGCCAAGTAGTTGTTTTGTGACCTTTTTATTGTGAAAAAAAAACGAACAGAGTAAACGACTCGATCAGCCTTGATTACAAATTGATTGCTGAGCCATTTCAAGCCTGCTTACCTCGTACTTCGTTCATATTCAAAAGCTTTCAGTCAACAACAATGCATGATGTGCCTGCACCATGGTAATTACTCTGTATTTATTATTTTCTTCTCACGTCTGCAGCTTAACATAGTTGGGAACACGTGAATCAAAAAGGAGCAGAGAATCAGTGAAGCTAAATAAGGTTGAAACCATGCCATTTCTAATCATTTGAAAGGATCACATTAAAATGCATCAAGGTTCACAGTCGGAATAGCCAATGTCCTGCAGTCGATAACTTGGTTAACACCCAGTGTGGTTAGGAACGCCAGCGGCTGCACCCGGGTGAAGTCGTTCCCAAACTCCGGCCCAAGCGTATCACATAGGATCCTGGCCCAGTTGCTCTTCCGAATTTCCTGCAGCTGTGTCGACGAGAAACTATGTGGGAAGCCACCGTTATCGTAGAAGAACCGGTCTCCGTTACGCAGGTCGAAGAACTGCTGTCCGATCAGACACTGGAAGGTGGGACCGACCTGCGCCCCTGGCGCACGCTCCTCCGCTACACCTCCGATGAAGAGGTCTACGTCGCGAGGATCGTCATACACGGAACGAAGCTTGTCGATCGCTTCCGGCGACATGACTCGGAACAGGTCACCCCAGAAGGCGACGTCGACTATGCCGCAAGCTCTAGCGGCCTGGGCGTAGGTCGGAGTTCCGTGGTCGCGCCCGCGCTGGATGTTGAATGCGAGGAGGTCGAGGCCGAACATGAAGTTTGTGGTGAAGAGCTGTTCGTGGAGTCCTTCCGCCATGCTTGTGTCGAACGTTTCCGATCGGCGCGCGACTAGCGTCCGCGCGTGGCCGACGAGGCTCTCTGTGATGATGCTCGGGTCGAAGAAGGTTCTGGTGATGTTGATCGACCTGAACACCTGACCTTCCGCGTTGATAAGGTCATAGACATCCCGCACCATGCTGTGACCAAACCGGAACGCAGCGCTAGAGAAGGAGTTAGACATGGACGCGTCAACGAAGGGATCGTATAAGTTTGAAAACCCGCTTCTCAGTGGCAATAGTCCATGCGCACTTGCGTAGTCATATCCAATGATGATCGGCAGCCACTCATTGTAGATGATATGCTGCCATTCGGCATTCAGGACCCGCCTGGCCTGCTGGAAGAGCAGCTCGTCGTTCCAGTTGGGATGCCTGCGGGCTAAGCCACGAGCGATGCGGTTGTGTTCGCGCAAGAAGATGGTGTGGATGACGACAAGGCCACTCTGTTCGTTAACACGACTGTCACCACCCAGGAAACAAGCGCCGGCGGACGGGCGACAGTCATTACCTGTCCGTGGAAGGAGATCCTGCGCGCTGGTGTGCATCAGACCACCTCGGAAGGCGCGCAAAGCGCTGAAGGTCGTCTCGTCGCTGCCATAGACGTTGGATGAATCTAGATAAGCGGTGAGCTCGTTAAGAGGATTGGCGGGACGAGCAATGCACAGCGGATCAGGAGCTAGAAGGGAGCGCACAACACTCATACAACGCTGGCCAAACTTGCTGTAGAATGGATCGTCGGTGGGGATACGGATGGGGATGCATGCAGGATGCAGTGGAAAGTCTGGGAAGGTCCTGCCGTCATCCAGGCAGCACTCAATACCACCACCGTCACTGCGTCTTGTCAGCAGCGCATGCGTTAGATCATGATCGATAAATTGACCCCACTGCATCACAGACAATGTGAAGTCGCGTAATTCATTTGACATTGTGTCCAGCACACGTTCACTGACTTTCCTGGCGCTTGGCAGGATGCCTCCACGGATTGCTCTGGTTCGAGTCGTGAACAAACCGTCGTCGTAGGTGTTTGGAAGGAGGCGTTTGAACCCTGTTCTTCCACGCCCTCTCGTTGGGAACTGCAGGTTGTTGCAAACACCGGTGACCGAGCGGTAGAAACTGGGCTGGCACAGGGTCGGCGTCTCGGGGACACACTCGGGGACGAGCAGCACTGTCGTCAGCGACACGGGAGCGCTCGAGCCGATCCTATTTTCAATTTCGTCGGACGCTCCCGTCGGTCCAATGCTCTGCACCCGCTCGAGGCTGCCACTAGAGAAGGACTGAAGATCGGCAACTGTCGAGACAGACTGCTGGGCTCGCTCGTTTAGCACCAAGGCTTCGTTTGAGGGCATGGAGTTGAGGAAGGTGAGAGCCGTCGGACTCTCTGGATCTGGAGATGGTGCTTGAGACTGAGCTGCTGCCGCGAACGTACTTGTGCTCGGAGAGAACGCTTGTCTTCCGGATTGGATGACGCCTTGAAGGGAAGTGACGGCAGACTGAGAAACCCGGAAGAAGTCCTTCGATCCTGTTTTCGTCGTATCAATAGGACTAAGACTGGCCAGAGGCGAGGAAGTTGGAATCGCTCGTTTGGACCTGTGGGGTTTTGGGCCACCAGCGTTCTGGCTGCTTTGGGTCTGGGTAGCATGGAACTGGCAGATAACTCCGGGAGACTGATCTGGAAGACGACACCAGTTGTAAAGCAACAGATGAGGCTGGGACGCCACTTGGGCACACAGAACTAGTGGAACACAGGCGCCACCCCTTGACGTACCCTTCAGTCCTCTTCCGCTTGTCAGAGGAGCTCCATCACCTCGAACGAGTGGGGCTTCTTGTCGCTGACCAGTTCCTGTGCCGGGGGAAGAGCACAATACTCCCGTTGAACCGTCAGAGAGCTTACAAGTTGAGTGGGACCCTATGGCAGAGTGAGAGGTGGTTTTTGGACAGAGCACCGGGGGAAGGCACGTGACGTTGGGTTCATGAGGCAGGTAGGTCTCGTAGCTGTTCTTGTTCGTTGTTGTTGTTGCAGTTGTTGTAGTTTTTGTCGTCATTGGCTTGTTATCCAACTTCGTCGCTGTTGTTGCCTTGCTGTCTGGCATTTGTGATGTTTTTGTTTGGTTTTGCTTTGAAGTTTTGTTGCTGCTGTCTTGCTTCGGTGCTGCTGTTGTCTGGTTGTCTGTATTTGATGCTTTTGGGTTTGATACTATTGCCGTATTGTCTAGCTTCATTCCCCTGGTTTCGTTGCTATCAGCGTGTTCGCTTCCTGTTGTACTCTTGCTTCTTCCATGCTGGTTTGATATGATTGAATTTTTCTCACTCTTGTTTCGATGGTCTCGTTGACGCAATTTTCTGTCATTCCCCTTTCTTCCGCTGTTTCTGTGTCTTGCATTTCTGTCCTTTTTATTTTCATTATCGTCATCGTCATCGCCATCGTCATCGTCATCGTCATCGTCATCGTCATCGTCATCGTCGTCATCATCATCATCGTCATCGTCATCATCATCACCAGTTTCATCGTCATCGTCGTCGTCTTTTGACTTAGGCCTGCTGATGGAATGTTCATGTGGTCCTGACGCCTCGGTAGCCCCTCTCTGATGGCCCTCAGAGCCCTCACAGCACTCTCCCTTGTCCCCAGTGGAGAGGGCACACCCAGTCTTGGTCGCTGCTCGCCGCGGACATTGCTTCTTGCACTCACAGCCGGCTGTGAATTGGCTGACGCAGAATAGAATCACCGCCACGAGCAGCACCTGAAAACGGAGAAGAAAAGAGGAATGAGGTGATGTCACACATTGAATAGTGCATGTTTAGCAATAATGTTTTTAATGCACGGATGTACGAATCAGACTTTTCAACGCAAACAGTGTAATGATTAAGTTTTTTGTTTTGTTTGTTGCAACATTTATATCTTTGAGTCTGGTGCTAAGCCTTGAACTAAATTTACACCACAAATAGAGCCGAATTTTGCATTGCTGCTTATCAAATATGTTTTAGCTCAGTAAGCAATGGTGCCAATTTTAGTGTATTGTATTTATTGTATTTATACTGGAAACTCTCCACAGGTGGCTATTACGAGCCCAGTTAACATGGCGATGCATTGACAGCACAACATACATTTGCAAACACACATACATGTAATGAAAGTAACAGAGTTGAAAACAAGCAGATAAGGAGGGTATTTGTCACTGTTCCAGCCTGGTCATGAGCTGGCGACGTGACGTGGAAAGTGTAGTCACACGCGAAAGTTTATTCCATGACACGGCGGCTCGGTAAGGAAAAAGTCGCCGCGCGGTCGTCAGCTGGAGGCGAGGGGGCGCGAGTACCGCAGCGCCGGCGGCGGTGGCTCGCGTTCGACGCGAACACACTGTTTGGCGAGGGCGCGCCATGGCTTTGAGCGGCTGGGGGGCTGCGGGGTCATGTAGGGCGTGGTAGATGTTTATCGCGTCGCGACGCATCACTAGCGTGTCGATATCGGGCCACCCAAGCGTCGCGAGGGCGGGGGATATATGGTCGCCTCGGCGTAAACCAGATACCAGTCGGGCGGCAAAATTTATGACCTTCTGCAGTCGGTTCAGGCGGGTGCGTGTCGCCCCACCCCATACTGACAAGCAATACTGAAGGTGAGGGAGAACGTGGGTCTGTAGGTACAAGAATTTTGAGGATTTCATTTGAGAGGTGAGATCGGATTTTGAAAAGAGATATGATTATTGCGTTGGTACGCCGGGCGACTGAGGATATGTGGCGCTCCCAGGTGAGGGTCTGATCGAATTCAACGCCCAGGATGATAGTGATGGCATTTTCGAAACACAAATGTACATAAATAACCTCTAATAAAAACAATAATTTTCTAGCGTATGGTAAGAAAAGAAGAAAAATCACACGATACAAAAATAACGCGGGCGCTATGTAATATGTATGTACAAAATGCCTGAAACAGATGACCGCGGCCCATATACTTTTGTATACCATAAACTCATTCTAACACTCTCACCTACCGTTTTGGCGTCCATGGTGGCCCGCCTTCTGAGTCGGCCCGCCTCGCCGCACGATCAGCGTCCGTGGAGAAGGCACGGTACCTCGGCGGGGGCGACGCTTCACTTCCCTCGACGGTACCTCTCCCAGTACCGGCCCGGTCTCGGGCCCAGCTCCTGCCGGGCTCTGGCCCCTCCTCGCCGTACCCCGCCTATATAGCTTCTCTGCAGCGTTGTGACATGTCAGCAGGCGTTTTCCTCGATGTGTGGTCAAGATTGATAACAATGGATGGTGGTGAGAGGGATTCCTGAGCTAAAGTTGCAAAATGGTTTGCAATGGCTTGGCTTCCTTGTGTGCATTTGCTGAAGGCATGCATCCCCTAGTTTTAGTTAATCATTTGAAAGCGGCAAATGGAAATTCAAGAGGCCCACATGTATGAACATTTTTGAATGTTGACTTGATCTTGGCCGGCTTAAAAAAGTGTGACACCATCGCTCTGCGAGCTGCAAAGGCAGATATAATCTAGACTGATTTCACTACCTATATTATCTTCATATTTTTGCCTTTACGATACCTTCATTTGCGATCATTCCGATCCTGGCATTTGGTTATTTTATTGCCTTGCACCTATCTACATGATATGTACTTACATTTTATAAACAAGTCAATGCTTAATTACTGGTCAAGCCATTTGATTGAGCTTTGAACCACAATCACATGACTATTTTTCATTACTTGAGTCATGTGGAACACTGTTTTTAAACAAGCCGTGCAAAATGATGGAAGGGCATGTTTGTCATGTTCGGTGACAAATTCTTTTGTACCGTACACAAGCACAATGATGTGAACATATGATGTCCCACAACGGACACAGTTTTGGGGTGTAACAAGGAAAATGCCAGCTGCGCATTTATTTGCGGCTGATAGATGATGGTATGCCTTTGCTGGTTTTTATCTCAGTAGGTACCCGATTCCAACAACGCTGTTGTGTTTTGACAGTATGGTACATGACCAGTCAATGTTTTGCTAATTAACTAGGTGAAGATACAGCAGCGCGAATAAGGAAGACCCAGACAAAGCTGAGCTGTACCAATCTTCGCCACTGCAGTTGCAGCTGATGATCAATGATTCAGTTTGAATTATGGATTATTTGGGTAAAGATGATGGATTGACACTGACACAGTTTCTGTATCGGAACCTTTGTTAGTCGTGCTACGCAGTTCCAGAGTCCAGGAAGTTCTTTGCAGCTGTTGAAAATAACTAACTGAAGACGTTTTCCCGGCCAGGCTGCAATGGCAGGTGGAACAATGCCGTGAATCCGGGGGGGGGGGGGGGGCACGGGGTCATAACCTACCTACCTATGTTTAGAATGTACCATATGAATTATCCAGATGGTAGGATGCATTGTATTCGAACTTTCTTACGCTCAATAGCTGTCTTACGTCACCGCTTATCGATCATCTGTGAAATACCCTCCACTCTGCAACGTTTTAGATATGTTGATTTTGAGGCTTAGACGGTGTACAGAGATCTATGGGTGATGTGTTTGGCTGTTAAGCATTGTCACTATTTGGTGAGATATAATCATATGCATGACTTGTGACTCGTGAAACACTGGGATTTTAACACTGGCACTACAAAGCATGAACCAGAAATCGGCGGATCATGGGTTGGCATTAGATTGGAACCAATAACGAGCGTTTGCCGTAATATGCTTAAAAACTACGAGATAGGCGATTGAATCGTTTGACCGTGGGGTTGACCCAGCTTCACCCGTAACACGAACCATGATCACTTGGACACAATACGTTTTCTTCGGGCTTCTACCACACTGTCAGTCAAGTGTCAAGTATTTGTCCCCCAGCTTTTCAGTAGACTCCATCGGTGCCCCATTGCGTGTCCTCGGCTTCAGTCGTTCTCTGCAGGATTGCAACAAGCTCTACAAACATAACTGAATTGCGAACGGTTCTGCGGAAACTCCATATCACTAGAAAAATTTGCGAGGCACCAATCTGAGTCATAGTTGGTGCATCTTGATATCCTGGGCCTCTTACCGATGTGACACGCTCTGTGGCCACTATCCTGCTTCGAGGCAAAGGTAGGCTCAGGGTTGCCCGGAGTTTTTACAGTTTGTATCGTTTAAAAAAAAAGGCGTGGCGTCGACCTGTTGCGCGGCTGCTGTGTGTGTATGCTGGGCACTGGAATGAACTGGATCATCGTTATTTTTACGTTCGCTGCTAGAACCTATAGCAAGAAAAATTTCAAAGCTGCAACATTACATCAAACACCTATAGGCATTGAGGAAACCTCTATTATACATCGAACTCGCTTTTTAAGCTCGCGCTCGTCCTGGCGGATTTCCACCATCACTGGAAGGTTTTTCGAAAATCGCGGAAATATCGCAGTGCGTAGTGTGACAAAATGTTGTATGAATATTTCCCATCACTTTACATTTGTACGCAAGCGGCGTCCCTCTTGTTTTGAATGTCAGCTCACTAGATCACTTTGAATGACCCGACTCCAAATCACTTTTAAATCATTTAACCAATTTTATTTTGTTTCATTTCAGAAAAGGTCCGCCGCTAGATTTGTCGCGACGGGTGTGCTGACATACATTCAACGTACCGTTGATTCCGAGCTAAAACAGAAGTTCGTATTTATTATTCTTGCTGTTCATTGGTAGTTCACCAATGCACGCATACACTAAGCCATTTTCGCGACAGAGCATTGGACACCTGTTTAAAATTGAATTTGAAAACAAAAAAGCAAAGCGATCGACATGACATTCGAAAGGTGGAAACCCTACTAATAATAGGGTTTACAACCTAACCTACCGAAGCAACCTAAACCTAACAATTTTGGGTTTTACCTTAATAACCACTAGAATTTATCTGTAAAAAAAAAACGGATGAAGCGTATTAAATAGGTGCTGGATATTCCGTTGTGTTGTGGAAAGGCCTTATGCTCAGAATTGGTGTCGTACATGCAATAATTGCATTGACTTTGACGGATGCAATGATGCAGCGCAACAAAGCACAACGATTGAAGTTCAATGCAAATGTATGCACTATTTCAGCATGAGCTACGAACTAGAAGATCCTTGTGATCTTTGCATTTTCCGCTACAGAAAGGTTTATGGGTTTGATCATGCTGCGATCATAAGGAAAATATCTCTCACCCGTTAACAAGCCCTTGACAATCAGTTACAAAGATATTCAGAACAAAATAAAGTCTTCTCATGTGAATGTGCTTCTTTTATTTTGCCCTGTCGGTGGATACTCCCATCAGTGAGACAGTGCTGAGTTCGGTATAGCTTTTATTTGCGAATCGCATCAATCACGAAACAAAATCTTGATCTAACACATTGCAGAGAAGGAAAACGGAATGACAGGAAGTCAATGAGATTGACGTTTCTATAGCCAACACCTGAAAATGTACAATCGTAAAGAGTATAGGCACAATATGGGAGCAAGTGCTTCCACGGGAAAGGGTATCAGTTGACATTCTCAATCCTCTTTTTGTTTGGAGTGAACACAGCTTAGAAAACAGTTATGTAGGTACTTGGTAACGGTGAAGCTTTATGACAATAATTTTCATTGCGATGTTCTTTAATATTTTGTAATCATATGTCTATTCTTATGCGAATTAATCTTAGTCGGAAATACTTTGATTAGGAACCTCAAACGTCGTAGGTATATCGTTCGAGGGAATGTCATTTGGTCAGCAAACGTAAGTCAACTCGGAACGGGGGTAAGAGGGGAAGGACGAAAGCTGAAGAGCATCTGGTTTCATGTTTTTACTAACCAAGTGTAAGAATATCCATAGGTCTGAGACTAGCCAGAGGCTGGGAAGCCAGAGTTGCTGATTCGGTTCAATGGAACTTATATCCACCAGCACTCTGTCCTCCGCCATACTGCCCGCCGGCATGATATCCTCCGGCATTCTGTCCGCCTCCGTCGGCATTCTGCCCGCCTGCGTTGTGTCCGCCGGCGTTCTGCCCGCCTGCGCTCTGTCCGCTGGCGTTCTGCCCGCCTTGGGGCTTCTGTCCGCCAGCGTTATACCCACCGGCGAACTGTCCGCCAGCATATTGTCCTCCGGCGTTATATCCACCGGTGTGATATCCTCCGGCATTCTGTCCGCCTCCGCTAGCGTTGTGTCCTGCGGAGTTCTGTTCTCCAGCGTGCTGTCCGCCAGCGTGCTGTCCGCCAGCGTTGTGTCCTCCGGTGTTCTGTCCGCCAACGCTATGACTGCCAGCGCTCTGTTTTCCTCCGTCTGCGTTATTGGCGCCAGCGTACTGTCCACCAACGCTATGACCGCCAACACTATGTCCGCCAGCGTTCTGTCCGCCTCCGCCGGTACTCTGTCCGCCGGCGTTATGGCCGCCAGCGTACTGTCCTCCCTGTCCGCCAGCGTTCTGCCCATTGGCGTTATATCCACCTGCGAACCGTCCGGCAGCATACTGTCCTCCGGCGTTTTGTCCGCCGGCGTTTTGTCCGCCGGCGCTATGTCCGCCAGTATTCTGTCCGCCGGCGCTATGTCCTCCAGCGTTTTGTCCGCCAACGCTATGACCGCCAGCATTCTGTCCGCCCGAGTTCTGTCCGCCTGTTTTATGTCCGCCAGCGTTCTGTCCGCCTTTTGGATGCTGGATGGAAGCAAATTCGCAGAAAACTCCGGGGGTCTGATCTGGGAGACGACACAATCTGGAAAGCAGCTGGCGGGGATGGGACGGCACTTGAGCACACAGAACCAGTGGGACACAGGCTCCCTCCCTTGACCTGCCGTGTTGTCCGCTTCCGCTGTTGGGAGCGATTCCGCCTCCTTGAACGGATTTATGAGGATTTATGGAGGCGGATTTATGAGGCGGATAAGTCTGGTGGCTCGTCTGGTAGTAGTTGTTGTTTGTTGGTGCTGGTGTAGTGGTGGTTGTGGTCGTGGTGGTTGTTGTTGGTGTCGTGGGGGTCGTTGGTGTCGTTGGTGTTGTTGGCGTTGTGGGTGTTGTTGCTGCCGTTGTTGCTGATGCTGTTGTTGTTGCTTGCGTTGTGGTTGTGGTTTGTGTTGTTGATGCCGTCTGAGTTGTGGTTGCTGTTGTTGTTGTTGTTGGCGTTTCTGTCGTTGTTTTCTGTGTTGTTGTTGGTGCTTTTGTCGTTGGTTTCTGTGTTGTTGTTGGTGGTGCTCTAGTCGTTGTCGTCGTCGTCCTTGTCTTGTTCTCGCGCCTCGCTGCTCCTGTTTTCCTGTTTCCTCGTCTCGATGCTGTTCGCGTCTTGTGGCTTGACGTTTGCGTTGCTGTCGCCCTGCTGTCTACGTTCGGTACTGCTGCTGCCTGGTCGCCTGCTTTCGATGCCGTTGTCTTGTTGTCTGGAATCGATGCTGTCGGTTTTGATACAGTGGTTTTTGGTTTGTCTTGTTTGGTTGATGCTGCCCTGCGGTTTGACGTCGTTCGCTTTGTCGCGCTGCTGGCACCGTGTTCCCTTCCTTTTCTGTTATTCCTTGATGCACGTTTTGTTGAAGTATTTGCCCGTTTAGTTTGTTTCTCCCCAGCTGTTTCGTTTTCGGCGTTGTTTTTGTCTTCCTTATTTTTGTTTCGCTCAGCACGGGGTGCAGTGCCTTCAGCTCTACCCCTGTTGCTTTTCTGCTTTCTTTCGCCTGACCGTTTCCTGGAAGAACGACGTCTGCTACTTCTGCCGTTTTTGCTACGTCTTTGGGATGATGTTTTCCGAGAGTTGCTCCGCCTTCTGTTAGACCTACGCTTGTTTTTCCTGGATCCTCCCCTCCTTCTTCCGGACTTTGCCGAACGCCTCCTGCTGCTGCTTGACGTTCTTCTGGATATTGCTTTTCCTCTGCGAGAAACGGAACTCTCCGAGCTACCGCGTCGCTTCCCGTCAACATCTCTTGAGCGGCTTGTCTTTGTTGCTTCATTTTTCTCAGACTCTTGCAAGCGTCGGTTATTCTTTTGACTTCTGCTTCGATTGCCTCGTCGACTCACCTTGCCGTCAGTTCCTTTTCTACCGCCGCTTCTGCGTCTTGCACTCTTGTTCTTGTCGTTGTCATCATCGTCATCGTCGTCTTTATCGTCGTCTTTATCATCGTCTTTCCCATCGTTGTTATCGCCGCTGTCGTCGTCTTTGCCATCGTCGCCGTCGTCGTTGTCGTCGTCGTCGTCGTCGTCGTCGTCGTCTTTTGTCTTGGGCTTGCTAATGGAGTGATCGTGTGGTCCTGACGTCTGGGGTGAGCCTCTCTGATGACCTTCAAGGCCCTCACAGCACACTCCCTGGCCCCCGGCCGAGAGAGCGCACTTTGTTGCGCTCGCCTCCCTCCGCGGACATTGCTTCTTACACTCACAGCCGGCTGCGATCTGGCTGATGCAGAACAGAATCGCCGCCACGAGCAGCACCTGAAAATGGAGTGAAATGTGTTAGATGTCAGACGCTGCTTACAACATGGTTTGTAGTAAAATACAGGAGCACGAATGACAACTCGAATATATGGAACAGCTGCTTTCTCGAGCATCAAGCTGTACTGATCTCAGGCAGCTTTTGCCAAATTGTCAGGGAACTCAGATTTGTTTTTCAATATAAAAATACAATTCTAAAGAATAGTGTTTCAGCTATTGACAACAATCCTTCGGTTATGCTATTTACGGCTTTGCCATCATTTTGCTTGGCGTGGTGAACGTTTATGTGTTCTGCCGCAATAGGATCTGCAAATTAAATGTATTTTAAGGAATCAATTCAGGCATTGTTCACTGTTCAGTCCATGCCTCTTTTTGGATGAAAACAAACGAAGGCCGACCATAAGTTACTCAGTACCTATTTTAAATGTTGTATGTTTATTTGAGCTCTTGAAGCGGTTTAGGGAAAATCTCATTGATATACATACATAAATGGCCCAGCCTGCTTCCCGTGAAGTTTTTCGTAACCTTGCATCTCGGTAATCGCTTTACCGATTGCTAAATATTTTCCGCATTAGATAGGCCCGTCCTTTAAAAAAATTCAATTGCTTGTGATGGGCGATGGTGACAGAGCTACGGGACGTGCCTCGTCCCATATCAGGTGAGTGTAATTGGTTCCGTTTACAGTAACTCCGCGATGACTGGGCCAATTGCGCTATGGTTAAGCGTATGAACTGAAACTCATCAGGCGATGCACTTTGATGCGTTTTAGTAGGGGTGCTACTGCACGTGCGCACTGCGCACGTGCAGGGGCGTTTTCTACATCTCCAGAACGGCTGGGCCGCTTGCGTTCAAAGCTAGTACAACTGAGATCGGTTAGAAGGGTGGCCCGAACAAGTTATTAGGAGTCCCACCGTGCACGTGGACATGCACAATGCTAACTATGTCGTTTGCCTATGTCATTATTCATTTCTAAATAAGTGTATTAATAATCCGTGTCTTTGTAGGGCCGATATGGCGCGTTTGACACATTATCAATGCTTTTTTAAACTATTTCGCAATCCATTATCAGTTAATCAGGAATGCGACCGCCTCCAAAGCCAAAAAATGCAAACCGTGCGCAACACAAGGGAAGTTAACGAGCTAAGTCGCTTCATATGAATGAATAGGCACAAAAAACACAATGACAGATATTACATAGACTGAACGGTCCAGACACTATTGCATAATGTATACCATACCAACAATTCTTACACCGTCACCTACCCTTTTGCCGTGCATGGTGGCCCGCCTTCTGAGCCGCACGTGCAGCGTCCGTAGAGGGGGGACGCTGTCCCTTCGGCCCGGTACCAGCCCGGGTCTGGTCCACCATCGCCGCGCCCGGCATATATAGCTTCTGTGCAGTGCCGTCGCATGACGGTGATTTTTTCCCCTGTCCTGTTGCCGAGGGATGATGACAATGGATGATCGTGAGACAGATTCTGATTCCATAAGCAGTGCACGACAGTTTGAAATTGTTTGGCTTCCTTGTGACAGACAGGACATCGTTTACGAGTCGGTGCATTCTTGCTTTAAGAAGGTCACTGGGGATTGACAGCTGATAATTGATAGGGTCTACCTATGTGAACCTAAGGTGAATCATAGTGGGCCTCCAGGACATCGGTCTTATCTGAACGTGAAAGCGTTCGGTCTTTTTTAGCTTGTCTTAAAAGTAGCTTTAGATTCACTTTCGTGTGAAGATAAACATTGTAAACAGTAAACAGAATAATCCAGTGATTCATCGCGAACCTACATGACGGTATAAACTACTGGGTCGGTTCCATAGTTCTTACTATGAAAGCGTTAATATGAACATCTTTATCACACTGTCGCATTGAAGAAAGAATATATCTTCACTCATTGCCTCCATGCACTATGATGTACAGATTCTCAGGTGCACAAACCTAAGTTATCGTAGCTGTGCTCATAGCATTGTTGTTATATTGGTAGATTATTTCGAAAAAAATAATCCACCAAAATAAGCATAAAAATGAGAGCTGATGACGACACAACGCCGAAAGCTTCTCGATACACATTTATTTTTCTTCTGATTGAAAAGTATCTCTTATTTAAACATGAGAGCACGGTTGTTTCTATTTTTCTGTATAATGGTTCTCAGAACAGTGTTAACAACTATTCAAGGTAGATTATTTCATTTCATTTCATTTCATGCCATGAGGCACATACCATGGTTGTGTGGTTAAGATTATGTGGTGTATTTACGTACGTTCTGAATGTAATAACATAGCTCACATTCCGATTACTGAAATCACGACAAACATGTTTTTATGTTGAACAAGCCGTTCGAAATGACGGAAAGGTAGGGATATGATTGTCGTGCCTGGTGACAAATTGTTTCAAACCATAGTCAGCATAGCAAAACACAATGGTGTGAAAATCTAGTGGCTCACAATAAACACAATTCAGAGGTGTTACAGGAAAATGCCAATCGCGCATTATTTGCGGCTGATGGATGCTGGCATGCCTTTACTCGCTTTCGATAATGTGATTTTATTTCAAACAGCGTGTTTCATGACCAACCACTATTTTGTTTATTGAATGTCATAGGAAGACGAATGAGGAAGACCTGAACAAACAATTGAAATGCAAACTTTTACTGAGAAGCGGTCAGCCACAAATGATTTCAGTGGCTTCTGCTCAACGCCAAGATGCATTTTACATACTTTCGGCAACGGACAAAGGATGCTTTCATGTGATTTGGGCAGCTATGTCCGAAGTAATACGTGGATGTTGTTTTCATGACAGCTGGAGCAAATGGGGGAAAGCACAATCACGTTTTTGTATTTTCTTACCATTGTTGCCTTGCTACCCATGGCAGCGACTAAAATTCGTACACAAACATTGATGATGCTCGCTAGGTATGCTACCACTTACCTTACACTCTTAACCCTCGCCCTGGCAGGGCATTTTTCATAACACGGCCTGGCAGGGGGGGGGGGTATGCGACCCCCCCTCGCGATTGGCTCCTATGGCACCTACTCGTAGAAGCACCAAATTTGGAAGGTAGGTGGGCCCCCTGGAGTTCTCGCCCTTGTGCAAATTTGGTTGCTCTAGGTCAATATTTAGGGGGGTTTTGGGGGGTATAAATGTAAAAATTTCGCTAAAAACAGATCAAAAGTTTTTCGCTTAT